AAATATAGATCTGCAACAAGAGAAAGAGAGAGCACGAATAAGATGATATGTGTAGGTCCGCAATGGGTGGGAGAGAGAGGACTGCAAACTATAAATGGGTAGGAGAAGACAATGGGTCGGAAAGGGAACGCAAGGAGGGAGACAGAAAAGAGTAAAACCTCCTTCCGCACAGACCCCTGGCCCTGTGACGCACTTGTACCCTTTCTTGCTCCTAGAACCTAACGTTTGTGACGTATTTCTTCTCCCTTGTGACCGGACTCACACATACACATTGCATATATGTACATCGGACTGTTACACGTACACACCGCATATACATTTACGCACTAACACATAATGAATTAAAATCCCTAGAACTATTCTACTAATGAATAAGTTTCCTAATCAATAAATCTTATTAAAATAAATTTTCTCTTTAAAATTTTGTTCTATCTCCTATTATTGGTCCATAATAAAATAAAAACGAAAAATGAGATAATCTTTAAAGGTTGATTTTACCCCTTCAAAGTGAATTCGGACAGTAAAATAAATTATTTATTACATGTCAGGATATCTTTTTATGTATCATCATAGTTTTATAATTTTTTGAATTTTCGAGTTGAAGGTCTTTTCTTGTCAGTTAAAATGGCTAAATATGTTTGGGTACAGAATACCAAGTCTCTGATGCCTACTGCACACTGGACGCGATGGACAGTAAGCGACGAGCGATGAAAGCTCTACTTTTTTCACGTGACGATGTAAAGCAGAGCTATTAGATATCGTTCGTCGCTTATCGCTCATCGCATCCGGTGTGCAATAAGCATAAGTCGGGTACAGAATATCAAGATTTAACCATCTAAAATGATTATTTTAAACGAGATCTTTCGACTATTAACGTTAGTCTTGTAATTATCATTTTTGTATAATAATTTGGGACATTCCTTTATAAATATATATTAACGTCAAATTATGTTAAATTATTACGCTCGGCAATTATCTTCAAAATATTAGACGTTCAATTGGGGACATTTCGACAACGCAAATTAGCAGTCCATTATAATTATGCAGGGTGTTTCCTGTAACTTGATCGTCAAAATATCTCCGTTGTTTTTGATAATACGAGGAAAAAATACCATAAGGGATGTTGTTCGATTCGAAGGGGCACGTATTATGATGAGCAAAAAATTTTTCTCAAGGTCATATTTTTTGAAACTTCAAGGTCACCTCCACTGTTTTAAATGGAATTGTATGATTTTTTTTACATAATATGATTCCTTTAATTATTCTCGATATAAAAATATTAAAGTAGTGATATAAAAAAAAATCAATAGTTTACGAGATATTTTATACCTTATTCTGGCATATATTGACATAAAATGTTAAATAACTCGTAAACTACATATTAATTTTTTATAATCGTACCTTAATATTTTTATGAATAAAATAATGAGATAAATCAATTGGTGGAAAGAAAACACATAATTGGCTATTTAAAAAATTATCCATTTGGCATACATATTTTTTTTAAAGCAATTATGTATTTTCTTTCCACCAATTGATTCATTTTATTATTCTGTTCATAAAAGTATATTAAGGTATGATTATAAAAAAATTAACAGTTTACGAGTTATTTAATATTTAATATTTTATGTCATTGATTTTTTGATATCACTACCTTAATATTTTTACATTTAGAATAATTAGAGGAATCACATTGTGTAAAAAAATTATACAATTCCATTTTTTAAAAAATGGAGGTGACCTTGAAGTCTCAAAAAATATGACCTTGAGAAATTTTTGGCTCATCATAATATGTGCCCTTTAGAATCGAACAAAATCCCCTGTGATGTTTTCTCGCGCGCGCGTATCATCAAAAACAATGGAGATATTTTAAATGATTAAGTTACAGGAAACATTCTGTAAGTGGATAGACCTTACGATTAAATAAGACCAGACAAATTAGAAATATTTATAAATTAAAAAAATTTTTTTACATGGACAATGGTTTTCGAATTAGTTATCTATTTTTATATTTATACAATCTGCTTACTTACTGTTTTGTGGAAAGTAATAAGGGATGCAACCGCATTTTGCTCTTGTGATACTAGCTCGACATTCTGCAAGACAATTGTGATATGAGTATGCCGTGAAAGTTAAATTCCTCTCTTTGACGTTTGCATACAGCACTTTGTCAGCCTCTTCGCTAAATATGCATTTTCGCGTAGAAATTGTCAAGTCCTTCACTTCGGATTTTGAATACATTTCTGCTGGATTGATGGTTAGAAAATGTTGACTGTTTAATCGTATAAATTGAATTTCAGCATTAAAATCTGGATAGTCAAATGAATAATGTATCATGACCTGTAACAATGTATAACATATTTAGTTAGTAATTTCTAACGAAAAGAATAAATATTCGGGTACATAGAATATAAAAGGTTACGTGATGAAATTTATTGTCCATTTTTTTTTAAGTTATAATGCATTATACGAGTTAGATTTTTCCATTAGCAAAGAAATACTTGCATTTTAGGTGATTTGGAAGCTCTCATGAATTGTTGGTTCACCCTTTTTCTTACTCACTTTTACTTTACTGCTAAATTCGAAAATTATATAGTTAAAATTGTCGGTAGTTATTGGAATTAATGAACACGCTGATGACCTTAACCTTGACATATGTTGTTAAGGTCATGACCCTGAGTGATCTTCAAAAAATTTTAGGTGGCGGTCACTGTTCATTTAAAAGTTTAATAAATAAATTTTTAAAAATAATGTCTTATTTCTGCTATAAACTGACAGGCATATGACTTTCTACGCAAAGGGAGTTCCACCTCGCATCCTCTCCTGTTACGGGGCGTACGACTTTACAAGCAAAGCGATTTCAACCCGAGAGGGTTGCTTTTGCCTACAAATCGATTGCCTACAGTACCGTTTGCCTATATCCTATTTGCCTACAAATCGATTGCCTACATGTTCTATTGCCTACAGATCGATTGCCTACATGTATTATTGCCTACATGCATTATTGCCTACATGTATTATTGCCTACAAGTATTATTGCCTACAGTTCGATTGCCTACAGCTCGATTGCCTACAAGCACTTTTGCGCACAAATAAAAATTTTAGAAACAGAATTACTTTTGCCTACATGCATTATTGCCTACAGCTCGATTGCCTACATATACTATTGCCTACAAGTATTATTGCCTACAGTTCGATTGCCTACAGCTCGATTGCCTACAAGCACTTTTACGCACAAATAAAAATTTTAGAAACAGAATTACTTTTGCCTACATGCATTATTGCCTACAGCTCGATTGCCTACATGTACTATTGCCTACATGCATTATTGCCTATAGCTCGATTGCCTACATGTATTATTGCCTACAGCTCGATCGCCTACATGTACTATTGCTTACATGCATTATTGCATACAGTTCGATTGCCTACAAGTACTTTTACGCACAAATAAAAATTTTAGAAACAGAATTACAGTGTACATACACACATAAGAATTTTCACTTTTCACATTTCCGCTCTAAAAAAAAATTACATGTTACATGATCGTTACTCAGACTAGTCGGCCAGCGGCGCCATGTCAGTCCGTCGGTAGTGATCAGTCGCTCGCAGTAGCACTATTGACAAAACGTGACGTTGTTGGCGTGCTTGCAAGTTGCAAGTTTGCCATGCTAATGTCTGACATTAGCATACAATATTTACGCAAGGGTCATACTGGTTCCTTATTTAAATTTCTATTAGGCAGGGAAAAAAATAAGAATTGAGCATAATTAAAAATTGATTACCTTCACTCCATGTGATCCGATAATTGTAGCGTAATAATCATTTGGTTCGGAATTTACTACTATGGTCATACCAGTCTCAAATCCGCAGGCAGCAGCTCTTTTCACACTTTAACATTAAGAATTTAGATTAATTGAAAATATAATGTAATATAAAATATAATTAAAATAATGAGAATAGCTTACGAGTCAAGCAAGGTCTTGATGTTAATGTTTTAACATTGAGAATGACTCGATTGGGGTATGTTGTAATAAACTGTTTTTTTAATAATATAGCATCAAGACCTTGCTTGGCTCGTAAGCCCTATTCTCATTATTTTAATTTTACAAAATTATTTGAGCCTTTCCTTATATTATTCATAAAATATAATGTAATATGATTATTTGTAGAATGCAGAGTCGGATTTCGATATTCATAAGCTATTAACGTTTTTTATTCCGATATATAATAAGATGAAGAAAAATAAAAAATCTTTTTTTGTTTTATCACAAATTAGATCGTAAAATAATTTTTATCTCTTAATTTCTTTTCCTTCGTTCTATAAAACATATTTTGTTCTATTTTCTAGTTTTTGTACAAACTTAAAGATCTTTTATAAAGCTTAAAAATTCTTTTTCCGCTCTGCAAAAATAGTGTTCTTACTTCTTCAATGTCGTTGTATCAGGAAAAGTATAATAATTGAAACTGCAACATAAACCATCTAGTGATAAACTTCGTTTGAAATATTTATCACATTGATCAATTGTACCTTTCCATTTACACATTGTCAATAAAGTACTGCAGTTTTGTGTTATCTGAAAGAACATTGTTATTAGCTTTTCCGAAATTGTAGCGCTAAAATGCGAAACAGTTGAAATGCATAAATACACTATTTGACAATAACATAATTATCTATGCAACATTAAAAAATTTTTTTTATGTTTCATGATATATGTGATAGATGATTCATATAGATTCCTTTCCGTAGATTTATAGATTTGTAATGAGAAATGTAACGAGAAATTCTCCAGCATATCAGATTTATAGAAAACCGCGTATTAAAAGACCGCGATTTAAAAAAAATGCGATTTAAAAAAACTGCGATTTAAAAAAATGTGTTTTTGTTATTTTTGCCTACTGGCAGTATTTAACACAGCATGTAGTTTTAATAATCTTTGTCTTTTGTTGCTAAAAATGACTTAAATGTCGGAGCCGAAACTAGAGAGAGAGAGAGAGAGAGAGAGAGAGAGAGAGAGAGAGAAATGTTACAAGAGGTTTTAAATAATTAAACTTGTTGACAACGAGTAAATGTCTTATTAAAAAGATATTAATTTGCATACTTCTTAGCGTTTGATTTCGATAGCTCTTTTTATTTTAATTTGTTAAAGTATTGGGAATTCTTTTTTATTGTATTATTTATTCGAGTATCTCGTCGATATACTATATGCACATAATAAATTGTTTTTGTATATACATACCAAGTCCATTACTTTAAAAATAGTCAAATGGTTATCATCTATAATGTCTTGTAGACGAGTAAGATTCCTTTGAATATCATTTCCGAATATTCCTGGTATTAGTAATTCATTCATTAGCCGCATTTCTTGAATTAAATATTCTTTTGAGACATTGGCTGGTGTTTTTCTATGAAAAATGTAATGCAAATAAACGTGGTAAAGAGTACTAACAAGATAAAATAACTGTAGTATGTAGAATTACGCAATATGAATAGTGTAAAGAAAAATTAATTATCTGCGAAGTTGAATACTATTGTATATATACAATACAAAACCGTAAAAGGCTAAATACTTACATACTTTCAACGAACTTTTTCGTCAAATTATAAGATATGCGATTAATATTGCACACAGTTATTGCGGGAAATGGATAATTCCAAATTCCATGATGCGTTGATTCAATGACTGTCAAAGTAGGATGGGTAGCATAATAATTCCAAGCCATTTTCATTAAAACAATGGCGCAACCTAATGACACGAATACCGCTATCGCCCAAATAATTCTATAATAGATAATTGTTAATATACATATATTATATATGTATACTATTGTTACATACATAATAATATATGTATACTATTGTTAGGATTGTAACAAACGACAATATATATACATATATGTACATACATATATATATAT